CGAAGAATGAATTGTTATACAGTGTAGGTTCTTTGTTGTAGGGAATAGGAAGCCCCATGCAGTGTTGCATTTGGTGAGCTTCATTTGCAAATATCAAATATATCTACAAGAAAAGCTTGCGTGCATGTTGTCTGTGTGTAATTTGAAAATTGTGTAAATGCACATGCGCAAACTCATCACTTACTGTTCTGTTATACACCGGGTTTCATGAAGGCGTGAATACCCCCCCCCCCCTCGTATAGAGCTCCATTGCAGTCAGCGTGACTTTTATAAATGGTTTCGGCGAACGAATAACTGTAATTTCAAGCGTTTCAAACACATTTGATGGGGTCTGTTTTTTGTGTTCATGGCTGTTAATCGGCCAATGAATGAAGGTAATCGAAGTTATTAAATGTTTTCTGCGTCCATATACCTTATAAAACAGATTTCGAAGGTCTATGCTGCGTCAAATGAAAGCGTCTTCTTTGGATTTACGAGTAAGTAAGGCGCAAGGTTCTATCGGGATGATTTTGTTATAAATGTCCATAAAACAATTTCACGTCTGTGTGAAACCAAGTGCACACATGTCTGGATATATTTATGTAGATTCCTTAAACTTAAAAACAATATTGTTTAGTTCACATAATACTCAGTACTTTTATTGTTGTTTATGTTTACGATTTGAACAACGTGAAGAAAGTCAAGATTATTGATTATTTTTGTTTTGTCAATCTGTACACCTCGGATATGATGTAAAATATAACAGCTGTTCACCCCATGAAGCTTCAAGCTCATGTATAATATTTTTATCAATTTATTGAGGAGTGTTATTGTTAAACGTTGATTTTTTTTGTCCATATATTGCTTACATTAAGTGTCAAATAAAATATTTACACCATTATTCATTGGTGCCGACTGTCCGCGACAGTTTCCATATATTACGATCCTGCGTAATAACTCTTGGTGGGCTTAGCGCGGGGTTACAGTGGGAAATGACTAAAGAGGTATACCAGGGTCCACTTATAAGTTAAATTTGGTACCAACCAAGGTTGTTTCTTGAAAGTATATCAGATCTGATTACTGGGTCAGGTTTAGATAACTATCAGAGGCTAACTAAACCGTGCCGAAGCAGGACGAAGCCTGAATCCCAGAGTTCAAGTTCTTGAACACGCACATACACATTTCCAGGTGAGTTCCCTTGTAACTAGGTAAGTGCCCCCACCGTAACTAGGCAACGAGGCCTGGCAAGAAATAATACTTCTTTATCCCTGTTGTCATTATTCCTCGGCAAATTGACACCTTACTGTGTGTAAAACTGTCAATGCTGTATAATACGTTCTAAAGGCTGTTTTTTATAATAATGGCTGTATCATGAACACAACATATGTCACAGTGACCGCATATACATTTCTAATTTTCTGCCCAGTGAAGTAATTAAATGAAAACATCCAATATACTGAGTGGCTCGATGGCAGTTTGATTAGCAAACACATGTAATATTCACAGCCAACTTATCTTTCCCACCGCACGATAAGATGTGAGTGCAGTAAAAAAGCTGCATTTTCAAGCATACTGATTAAAATCAGTTGTAGGTATAGGCTCTATTATATATATATATATTTTTAATTTCCATATATTATGTATTAATTATTATATTTTTTGTTTATACATGTATTTATTTGCTGCTTTTACTTGATGTTATCTCTTTTACATCCATCTCCGTATACAGAGTGAAAATGACCATTGTTTGACTGTGTCACGTGATGATGCATATTTATGATAATGGCATGTAAATAATCTGTGTTCCATCAAACTTGTTTTCTCTGATGTCTAGGCAATGTTTTCATATCTTAATTTTTCACCTGTCTATGCAATGTTTTATATGTGTAGCGTGAACGTCCTGACAAAAGTTATATTGGCTCGAAATTACACGAATTAAAATTAAAAAAAATGACAAAAAACGCAGTTTTTATGTCAGTTTTAGAATGATACATTGTTTTCAAAAAGAATTTTCTCTTGGAACATGCACCAAAAATCATGAATACATAAAAAATAACAGATAATAACGCAATAACCATTGGACATCTGAACGACGACAACTCCCCCCCCCCCCCACTCAGGATCCATAGGGGGCCGCATGCGCGATCCCATTTTCTCGGGAAAGAAGGTACTTTTTGACGATCTGTCTCGGGAACATTTTCCCGAGAAAATCGTAGAAAAGGGGATATTTTTTGCTTGTTTTCCCGAGATTCTCAAAATAGGGGGTGTATTTCAAAACACTTCCCGAGATATACAAAAAAGGGGGGTTTAAAAGGAGTTCGAGACTGAAAAGTTCCCTAGATAGGGGGTGAAATTCATCGGAAAAGCCCGTGAAAGGGGGTTAAATTTTCTTCTTTTCCCTAGATATGGGGGGGGGGTGTCAAAAAATGAGGGGACAAGCATAGCCCCCCAAAATATAGGGAGTGGGGGGGACAACTCTTTTTTTTGTATTTGTCTCCAATATTTTAATACACCGTTGTCGTGTGCACTCTCGCTCTTCGCACACAGTACCACCCTCTATCGCAACCAGAAATAATATGGCGAACTGAGGACATCTTTTTGACGAATTTATGAGTTGTTATGGTAACCACTATCACTAGGTGATACAGACCTCTGAGAGGTCTAAATATGGTCGTCTGAGTGTTTCAGAATTTGCTAAAATATATCGATGCCGCTGAACATTTACCAATGCCCAAATCATTCTTTCGGCACCGCTAACTATTAATCGATGCTGCAAAAACATTCTATCGATGCCGCTAAATATAAATCGATGCCGCAAAACATTCTCCCGAATTTAGTGCGCGCACTCCGCCCTCAAAGTCCCGGAGAAAATGAATTCGATTCGAATGCGGTGTTATGTGGTAACTGGATCAATACACCGTGTTAGCTAATCCGGATTAGTTCATTCGGTTCAAAAAACTACCTCTTGACACGGCTTCGAATTATTCAATGGCGGTTGCAAACAAGATTAACTCAAGTGGAGGCAGCTGAACCGACTTCGATACGAATTCGATTCGAATCGAAACTACTTATATTTGTTTAGTGAGGACAGGGCTATAATTGTTCTTATTTTTTGTTAAATGATCATGACAATAAAAATATCATTTGGTTCAAAATTACCAACATTTTTAGCGAAAGTGATAATGGCGCTCAAAGAGTAAACTGGTTTTCTAATGAATCATGAAATGTGAGTGGAGCGTGGTATGTGCACAGCATCCATGGTAACCATAGTACAATGACTGCTTCCATCCCGGTGATACCTGACACGACCCGCCCATCTAAAACAACGTATGTACATGCACATGTAGTCGCATGTATTACCCATGTACACATTCTCAGACTTTTAGATAAATGTTGCGAACGACTAATTAGGTGATTATTAATAACGATAACCAATTAATATTCATAATTGGCAACAAACACTACTTTCATAGTAACAGTAAAATACATCCAAACTGACAAAATAAACTACAACACATGTTTAAATGATTCTCGCCCCAAGGAGGAAAACTTGTAATAATCAAAGCGTTGTGATATCGATAATTTAATTGTATACCTACTAAAGAGTTGAAATGCCAAGTGTTTTAACGCATCGTACTTGAAATATTGAGCCATTAATCATATATGTGTCATCACATATATTCCACGTGTTTTGGAGGATTACCGTGTGATTTGCGTCAATAAAATGCAACTATAGAAAGGGTGCACAAAACGAGAAGGGATATTATGACTCGCTTTCTGCTTATCAATAGAGTTTCTCATTTTTGTATTGTGGGTGGACAATGGGATTGACCATGACTATGGAACTAGTTTGACTCTGACAACAGTTGTTGCTCTTGTGTGTCGCAGTCATCTCAAACACTTTTTTCGTGTGAAAGCGTAAAGATCGCGTTCTCCGGTACATGTTACAAAGTGCATTAAACACTGCGACATTGTTGCAACGGAAACACATTTTCCACTTATAATTCGGCACATCAGTAAACTATCCGGCCGTTGAAGCTAAAATGCTGAACAATGCGAGTGCGGTTTTTGAAAAATGCAAAATTAAAAATACGTTGACAACGCGGTGTCGATCAATACAATAGTATTCGTGTAATGGGTGCCAAACAGGCCAAGGACTTCATTTGTAAATTTCAACTTCCTAGTTGGATAAAATGTCGTCCTTTTACAACTCGTAACATCATTCGGGGGGTATTTAACACAGTGAGGCGTGCGAGAATTGTGAATTGCCGTCTTTGGAACAGGAAAATGTCGCACGCCATCTCGCTGTTTAAAATTGACTGCCAATGGATGTCACAATGCAGTCGCATGGATGTGTGGAGTGAATGCAACCACAACGTTGCTTGAAAGGCTAGATTCTGCTTAAGGTTGTGATTTAAATTTATAATAAAGTTTAGTTTTGAAAAACCTTAGTAATTACAATACGGACAAAAGCACGTGCCACGCGTCTTTCGACCAAGCGAGCATGAATGGACGACGACAACAACATGCTTCACCAGAGGAATTTGTTTATCTTGGGCAAAACCATTTTGCCATTTTGTACACGCGTCCGCGATGTGTAAAACGGGTCGACGTACTGTCGCTTAGAACAGTAGTCTAATGTATCATAATTATAATTAAAATCACAAATTTATTAGATTGACAGGGTTTGTTTCAGAAATATTTGTATATGAGGGTTAAAACGTCGAGGAATCTGCCTTGCTGTAACGTCCCTCTATATCATGCGACTCCCACTCGGATAGCGTGATTACTGCCCATGCCAGGTGCATTATGAGGCATTTAGTTACTAGCGATCTAAGTCCCATTCTGTGTTTGTAAATTCAAAAGGAAAGACGTCTCCCGTGTCTACTGACTGTGTACTACCACGCGTGGTCCGGGAATATCAAATCACGGTGGAACTTTTCTCTAACCTCATATCGCGTAATTTCCACAGAACAGATCCGCCAAGGAGTGTTTTACACTGTGATCAACGTTTTATGCAACGCGATATTTGTGGAAAACTTGGCAGGTGGAACCCAGCGAGTAGTTCGTGTTGGTTTCTTGAACTTCTATGAACAGGTCGACGCGACTACACTTGCCTTTGTTTCACCGCTGGTAAACAAATTGTGCGACGCGTGGATGATAGCACCGTTCAGTCTGCGTTTCATCGGGAACGCGGTGTTTCTCTCTGAGTCCTCGGACGGAAACAGTTGATGTAACACTAAACAGGCGGCTTCCTGGCTCGTTTACTTGTTATTCACCGCTACCTGTTTATTGAAGGTTGGTAGAGTGCGTGAGATGTGTAAACTAACGGCAGTTCACAGAGTGCCTTTTTTAAATGACTCTCCTCAAAAGACTGGTTTTCAATCAGTCGTCCAGTGGTTGTCTGCGTGCTGGCTTTAAGTGCCACTGTTGGGACGGTGCTTCTCCAAATTCATTTGCCTTTTTCACAGAAACTGTTCAGCGTCGCTGTGCGAAAACTAAACCAGTGTCTAATTTGTCATATAAACTCTACCGAGCGTTTAAAGCCCACCCATTGTTTATCTATAGGACACCTGAAAGAAGTTTTAACATCTGTTGTGTTTGGCTTTGGCTATAAGATGGACAAGATGCATTCATTTTTACGAACTGTCGCCGTTCGCTTGGTACTTTTTGTGTTAATTTGTATCGGTAAGTCGCTTACCACGGCGTGGGAAATTGAGTATTCTATTTTTGAGGAACAGCCACCTGGGATACCAGTCGGTAATTTAATTTCAGATCTCGGAATTGAAGAAGCCGGCATGCTCGGTGCTTACGACTTTCGTTTTTTTCAACCGCCCAATGGTAATGGATCTTTCTTGCAAGTTGGCGGGCGTAGCGGAGTTCTTACTACTACGCAAACAGTTGATAGAGAGAGACTTTGTGCAAACGTGGAAAGATGTATTCATGAAGTAATTATCACATTTCAGCACCAGTCTGTAGAATTTGTTAAAATTAGGATAGAAGTTTTAGATTTGAACGACCATGCGCCCACCTTTCCCCAGAACATCATTTGGATAGATATTTCAGAAACAACCGCTATCGGGTCGACATTTCCGCAGGGGGGATCGCTTTTTGCTGTCGACCCAGATGCGGGCAACAACACTGTACAACTTTACGAACTTTACAACTCGTATTCGGATACTTTTGGCCTTAACGCGTATTATAGTATTGTTGAGGAAGCGATAGTTGCTGAAATTGTTGTCCTGACAACGCTTGATAGGGAAGAAACAAGTTTTTATGAACTTGTGTTAGTGGCCAAAGACTTTGGAAACCCGATTCGGAGTGGATCAGCTTTGATAAATGTTAGTCTTATTGACGAAAATGATCACATACCAGACTTTCAGCAAAACACGTACCATGTTGAAGTGTCAGAAAATATGGCAGATGTAGTTGAGTTTTTAGTGGTGCATGCAGTTGACTTGGATGATGGCGTAAATGGGCAGGTAGTTTATTCATTTAGTCCAAGAACTCCCCCTTATATTCAAGAATTGTTTGCCATTGATTCTGTAAGTGGCGCAATGAAAACTTTACAGAGCTTAGACTATGAAGCCCAGCAGCATTTTCAAATCATTATTCAGGCTACAGATTTAGGGCCATCACCCACCCCCACCTATGCCACTGTCATCATAGACGTGGCTGATCTTAATGACAATTTTCCAGTGATTAGTTTGAGTTCTACCTCTGCTGTTGGTACTAATCAAGCTCTTGTATCAGAAGCTGTGTCACCGAATTATGAAGTTGCCTATGTGACGATCTCAGATGCAGACAGCGGGTTAAATGGTCAGATGACATTACAGTTGATAAACAGTAACAACGACTTTGTATTAAAAGAGATCTACACCAACGAACTATATATTCTGACTGTTGGTCAACATTCTCTTGATCGAGAAATCATTGCAGAGTACAATTTGACTCTACAAGCGACAGACGCGGGTGACGACCCCAAATCAAGTAGGGCTTACTTTTTTGTAAAACTTGCAGATATCAATGACAACTTTCCTGTTTTTTCTAAGCGAGTCTACACTGCTCAAATTCCAGAAAATAATATAGTTGGTGCATATATTACCAAGGTTACTGCATTGGATCCAGATTTAGATGCAAATGGTCAAGTTGAGTACGTACTTTGGAATTATCATCATGAGTTTGACATCAATATCATAACTGGTGAAATCACTGCTAAAAAATTGTTGGATTATGAGGAGCGTTCTTTTTATAACATTAATGTTACTGCCTGCGATCATGGAACTGTTCAACAATGTAGTGATGCCACTGTGAGACTCTTCATCCTGGATCAGAATGACCATGCACCTTTTTTCAGCCAGAATTCATACACTTTTTCAGTATCGGAAAACTTGCCTCCTGACACTTCAATTGGGAAAATCAGAGCTTCAGATTTAGACACTGGTGAAAACAGTCGTTTAATTTATTCTCTCCTTGGAGAACACAGCCAGCAATTCAGGATTAATCATCGCACTGGTGATGTTTTTACCCAAGTGTCCTTCAATTATGAGAGTGAAACTCAATGTGATCTTGTTGTCATGGTAACAGATCATGGGACCCCTGCAAGGACTGATAGTGCTACTGTCCATGTTGCCATTATTGATCAAAATGATAACAAGCCAGTGATTATATACCCACAAGGTTATAATATTATTTATGTACCTCTCTCTGCAAAGCCTGGACTAGCTGTTATGACAATTCAAGCGGCTGATGCTGATGATGGTCAGAATGGTGAATTGCGCTATTACATAACAGATGGTAACATCTTTGATCTTTTCCAAATCAGTGAAACGACTGGCGAGATCTACACGGCCAAAAATCTTGAGGAGAATTTAGTGGGACTGCATAAAATTACTGTCAAAGTTGAAGATCAGGGAGTTGATAAACAATCTGTCAGTTTGCGATTGAACGTTATTATATCAGACCTGCCCTTCAACCATTCCCTCGTCAACTATACAAATATTGGAAATTTAACTGAAGTTCTTCCACCAGCAAAAATACAGACATTTTTCCTGTTTACTGTTTCGGGAATCGCTATTTTGGTTCTCGGATCCTTGATATTGGTCTTGGTCATTGTTGTCGTCATCATCATTGTCAGATGTCGGACTAACGAAAAAGCAGTCCGAACTTACAATTTTCGAAGGGAGGAGAGTTTATTTAACACCAGTAAATCAACTAGTCGCACCGCAACTCCGCAAAATGTTGCAAACACGGTGGATGCATACCTGGCTATGCAGTCACCAGATGTGACCTGTGTCACACCAGGACTAATGCATGCTGGGAGTTTTGATAAACATTCTGGAATGGGGTCATCAGTTATGATACAGAATATGTACAATGATAACTCTGAATCTATCCGATCTAGTCACTCTGGAATTATGCCGATGTCAGACACTGACGCAGAGGTAGGTAGTTTAAGTTTTGTATTTCCTGCTCATTCAAAATTCAGTTTTAACAAGAAAATAATGTTTTATCCCATTTTTCAAGTGGAACTAAGCCTTTGTAAATTGATAAATGATCCTTTCAGGAACAAATTATGCAATAAAGTAATATTCCATCAACTGTGGAGATCAGTTGTCATGGCAACTGATTCCCACTTCATCCTTCCTATCTCCTTCATTAGTTTTGACAGTTTCCAAGATGTTACAGTTAATCTTTTTTCTACTTTTATTTTTATTGTTTTGTTTTTTTTATCACAAGATAATGAGATATAAAAAGTGTGGTCTTATTTAAAGTTATCTATCCTATTAGGCTTAGTGGTTTATAGATAATCCTGGCAGTAGATCAGGCAAAAATCAATAGATCATAATGCATGCGTGTCTGTTAAAAAAAACCCTTAATCTGACCTAGTATGATGGGTCTGTCTGATTTAAAAGTACTTTGGTCTGTCAAATGTCCTCTTAGAGTTAGTGCCCTTTATTGGGGCAAAGGAGGTTAAGCTTAAGTGATGACTAAATTTTGATAGATAACTCCAGAATACTACATTTATATGTATCTGTGTGATTAAAATTGGGGGGGTGGGGGTGGGTAACATAATCACTGAACTGACGCTGTGGCTGTGGTTATTTACAACATTTTGGTGATGAGCCATGTAAAATACTTTCACTTCCCTTCAGATTTTACTGTAATATGAGTTAGGTTTTATTTTCACTTATTATATGTATATATTAAATAATAAAATAAACTATCAAGTTAACTGTGCATAGAATGCATAGTTTCCTCCACAGTCCAGTGATTTTAAAACCCTCTACATTATCCCTGTAGCATAAAATCTGTTAATATGAAAAATGCATTAAATATTTCTTCTCAGTCAGTAAATTGTTAAAAAACGTATTTACTGTACAACTGTCTCAGTTAACATATTTTGACTGGAATTGAATAATGCTTGACAGAATTTGTTGTTTAGACTTGGAAGTAATTACAATTTAGTAACGCATGGATGTTTTGTCTGTACCAAACTGTCGGCCATGATGCAGGCTTCTTTGTGTAATTCTAGCGGCAGATAAATTAATATAAATGCATAATTGTTTTAAATATCAATAACTTTAATTGGTATATCAATTATTCGCATGTTACAACGATGAATCCCAACTGTGATGATTCCTTTTTTGCTTTCCATTTTTCTTTCCGTTATTCATGAAGTCTTTCAGCTGGTGAGGTGTTTATAAACATGCTTTCATCTCTACTTTAACCAAAAATATATCTGCGGTAAATGAGGAATAGATAAAACTAGTCTAGAGCAATTTCCCTCAGCTGGTGCTTTTGTTGGCCTTCGGGGAACTTTGAATAGCAACTGATGTAAGAGGAAGCTGGGACTTATTAAATCCAGACAAAATGGAAACTGTTAAAATAATTAATTAATACCGTTGTGTAATTTGATACAGAATATGTAATATTGAAGTGGGAAGTGTTGCAATGTTTATATTATTCAGATGTATTATGAAATATGCCTTATGTGTGACCCAAATGTTGCACATCCTGGTTCTTTGGGGGGGGGGGGGGGTCATAATCAATTATAAAATTTAGATGCAATAATAAAAATTATTTTTGTTATAGGACTATATCACCAGAATGTCTGCCCTGCATGCATAAGATTATTAATGTATAGAAATTGCTACTCAATAACATCAAAAATGTATTTATAAATTGAAAAATGCTTCTTCAATCTTCCTTAATAATCGTTCATGGTCCTAACTTTGCTATGTACTGACTTATGATCTAGTTGTCTACCTGCGATAGGAATTGGCCTGCAGCAGTAGTCAAATTTGCCTCCTGATGTGCAATCAGGTGGAAAAAAAACACATAACGGTCGTTTGCCGCAAGCTAAGTATAAAATGAGTATTCCAGAACAGAGCCCTTGCTAATTTATAGATTTTACTGGTAATGGCAGCAGTTTTCATCCATGACCTGGTTACAGAAAGTTTGGATGTGCTTTGCTTTAACCAAAGAATTCCTACAGTTTCCATGGTGATGAAAACTGATATCAAGCAGTTTTTGTGTTGTACCTCTCACTGAAAGTAGATGAACATAAGTCATTTGTAAAGGGCTGGTATTGAATGACTTTACATAGGGGTGAAATTAGAAAAAAAACAGCCATGAGACTTGATTATTATGTGTGTTAAATGCAACCAACCTTGGCGAGTGTTTGAACGATGGTAAAAAAAAGTAATTGTTCACCTGCCGAACTTTTGACATCTGCATCATATATTTTAAGAGGTTAAACCGCTGTGGAGGTGCAAGATAAAAGATGGGTTAATTGGCCTTGGTTTAAATAATCCTGGCGTCCATATATTGGGAAAAAGCCTATGGTATATTGTATCAATCACTGACTTTGAATTGCATTCAGTTAAAACGACTGCCAACAAATTTAAGATAAACACCCCTGAAGTTTTAAAGAAAGCGTACTATTTGTTTAATTGTGAAATGATTATATTCATATACTTGAGGAATGCAAGAATACTGTAAAATCTGTATTAGAAGCTGCCACTTCTATTAAAATGGTACAATGCAACAGGAGATGCCACTTCTATTAAAATAGTACAATGCAACAGAGGAGATGCGGCTTCTATTAGAGCATCTACACATATGAGAAACGATGAATTTTTGGTTCCAAATTGTTCAAAAAGAATGTGTGCGACTTCTATTAGGGATGCGGCTTTTAATACAAATTTTACAGGATAATTGTTGAATTTATTAAGTTTTAACTGATTGATTCCCTCTGGTTTGTGGCTTTTCTAAAATTTAGAAAAAGTAAAGCGAAAACGGATCATGAGAATTGACTGACTTGAATACTAACTTCTGTACTGTATACAGTCTTGTTTAAATAATTTATACCTTGGTTACCCATGCGTGGGTTTAGTATGTATAATAAGATTATCATTGTTTTGTACCCCCATGCCATTCATCCATCGCTGCACATATATAGTCGGGCGCGTTGTGGACTAAAATTCTCCACTTGTACAAAAATTGAGATCATGCATATCATTTTTCATATAACACTACATCACTAGTGATTTTTTACTTGCTCTCACTTTCAGACCTCTAGGTCATTGTTTCTTTATTTCAGTGTGTGATCAACAGACACATGGTTTAATTTGAACCACCGAATTAGCTATTAGTAGTAGTGCATGTACTTGCGTAAATAACAAGTATGTCTATGGTCAAAATAAGTCCTGTAAAATACTTTATTTGCAATATTTTTCCTGAAGGGATGATTTAAGAAAAATAAAATCCAGCGAATATATGTTTTTTCCTATATTTTACATTCAACTCATTAAAAATAATTACAAAACACCTTAAAATTTTTTGAGCAAAAATTAATTCCATCTAAAATAAAGTATTCTACTGTATACAATAAATGATACTGTAGAATACTTTATTTTCACTTGGAATTTATTTTCGCTATTTTCGCTGAAGGGATGATTTCGTAAAAATAAATCAGGCGAATGAACTTTTTTCCCTATATTTCACATTCAACTCATCAAAAATCAGTGAAAATAAATTCCATAAAGAACGCCCAAAAAGCCTTTTCAGCGAAAATTAATTCCAGCAAAAATAAAGTATTCCACGGTATTTCTTTACGATGTACTTCTAAAATGGCGAATACAGAACAAATAGTCCTGAATTGTATTTCTGGCACCTTCTTTCCAGCATTCCGCGTTGAGCATAATCTATATTCCCCCGAGAAAGAAAGACGCAAGTATTTTCTTAACCTTCAAAATAAATATATAAAATAATTGTGAAATTGTGTTGGAGATTTGGACGGATGTTAAAAAACTAAAATAACTCGTTGGATTTTTGAAGGCCGATTCAGCTGATTGAATAGATAGGATACGAGTAAATTGAATTTTATATGGTCTATTCATTACACACTCTAAGAGCACCGGCATATGGTTTGCTGTGACATGCTGACATTTGTAGTTTATAATGAAATACCAGATCAAGTCGCTTTTCATTCTTTTAGTTTTGACTCTACTTTGAGCTGCGATTCTGCATTGTGTTATATTTTTTTACGGAATCTCAAATTTGAATGCAATCTCGCGATGAAGTTTAGTTTACAGCGATAATGCCTTGATGAAAAAGGATTTATGCCTCATTGAAAATCCAAAGTATCTACATGTCAATTTAACAATGTGCCACTTGGAATGCCATCTTTATTTTGAGCTAATCCTGCAAATGTTTCCTGTGGGTAATGAGTGTTATATTGAAAACATAATAAATGAGAAAATTTGAATGTGCTGCATGTACAATGCAAAACCAATTTTCGCATAGGGGGTAGGGGTGCATTTTTATTTGCAGTGTGATATGAAAATTTTTTTTTTTTTTATTCAAACTTTATTAAAATTTTCTGAAAACTCTGCCCAGATTTACAATACAGCTTTGAAAATAAACATGGTATTAAAGTTTACCATTCCCATGTATTATTTAACTCTGCAAATTCAATGTTGGTGCACTACTCAAATTGGGTCAGACACTGCATGTAAAGTGATTAGCATGGTATGAGAGAATTAATTATTTAAAATGAGTCATTAGTGTAAAGACTATACCAGTAATGCCATCTGATATGAATCCACGATGAAATAGGAGTATAGTGACTTGATCATTGCTCCTGATTGGTTAATAATTTGGTGCCATCTAACCAATCAGTGAACACCTTATTTGTGTGGTCCTCATTGGTTACTGAAGCCTAGCCATCTAACCAATCAGTGAACACCTTATTTGTGTGGTCCTCATTGGTTACTGAAGCCTAGCCATCTAACCAATCAGTGAACACCATATTTGTGTGGTCTTCATTGGTTACTGAAGCCTAGCCATCTAACCAATCAGTGAACACCATATTTGTGTGGTCTTCATTGATTACTGAAGCCTAGCCATCTAACCAATCAGTGAACACCATATTTGTGTGGACTTCATTGGTTACTGAAGCCTGGCCATCTAACCAATCAGTGAACACCTTATTTCTGTGGTCTTCATTGGTTACTGAAGCCTGGCCATCTAACCAATCAGTGAACACCTTATTTCTGTGGTCTTCATTGGTTACTGAAGCCTAGCCATCTAACCAATCAGTGAACACCTTATTTGTGTTAGGTTGACGTTTGTCATTTTCTAAATTTTGAATGCATTGGATCAAATCTAAAATCACACAGTCATGGTAGATTTTGTCTGAGCCTGAATTGACAGTCAAGATAAAATGTATGTTTTGCAGAGCAGTGTACATGAATATTAAGTGAAAAAAAATGAGAGTTCCAGTGGTTTCTATGGAAACAACAGATTTTATCATTTCTTCATTTTAGAATATTGTATCTCATTCAGATCTTTTCAATATTTTGATTGGAAAACAAAATTATTAGAGATGAGAAGCATAATTTGTGCTCCAAGTCTGAATGTTTTGTGTCCTGGTTGTAGTTGTACCTTGAGTGAATAAACCTTATAGGAAGCCAGCTAGAGCCACTGATCTAGATTGAGTCACTAATTAATTGGATGCACCTTTGAAAACATAGTGCATCTCTGGTTGATGTTGGGATTATAGTGCAAAGAGTGTAGTATATTCACCATACATAAACCATGCAATGCCTCCGTCACGCAATGTGTTAAATATCCGTAAGGAAATTAGTATCCCCATACAACCATGGTATGGTATGTGATTTCTGTGGCCTTATGATATAAAAAGACCAGCAAAGACAGCATTTAAATTTTAAAGGCCGTCGCCTAAACAAAGATATTTAAAACATTGAAAAATATTTTTCAAAATCCATTCTTAAATCTAAACTGATGCAAATATGAGCTATAATATTATTTTCAGGACTCTTGTTATTTGCATATGCTTGTTATTCCGCATACATATGCATTTGTTGCCGGATATCACAAATGAATGATTCATTTCTTTTATTTTAATTACAGTCCTTGAACGGAAACTTTACTTTTCAAAATAACTCTGACTGATATTGATTTATGTGCAAAATGATTTTTTTTTTTATGTTATGTCAAAGGATAAAATAAAGTTAAATGTTAAAATTCAGCAACGTTTTTTAGGTGGATACGATTGCGCAATTCAGTTTTAAAATCAACCTAAAATATAGTTTCTCCTGTATTGTCTTAAATAAATTAACATGGCTCTGTTAAATGCAGATAAAAATCTGTAATTAGTCGAAACAAAATTCAGTTAAAGACAAGTTTGATTTTGGGCCTCAAGCAATTTTTGAAGTTGTTTTATCAGGTCACCTTTTTTTGTGAGTCGAGTGTTTTATAGCGTTATAAAATCCTCGTGGGGGATGCGTTCTTATTTTGCCAGAAGCGCTTCATTGCCAGCTATTCCACATACTTACTATTGTTGTTTGACAAGAATGTCTGAGTATCCCTACTTTACTGGAGACGTCAATCTGACTTTATCACACTCTTTGGCTTCTTTTTACAGTGTCGATTTAAATTTCATTATTTTAGATTGTTTGGTTGAAAATACATCAATTTTAAAAGTTTAATGTGAGAAGGCGTTTTTGATTACTGGTATGTTCAAATAACAATCGAACAATTACTTTAATTTCGCAATGAGTCTTGCTACCCAGCAGTAAAAGAAATTGTGAATATATAAAGAAGTTTGAATCTTAGAGAAAAAGACAGGAGATATGATCATTTCAACTGCAGGTTTTAGTTAAATTATTTATTGTGCACCTGCTTATGTTTACTAGTATACAATTAGTATTATTCTTCAGTGCAATGATATGACTGTTTTGTATTAAATGAAAACCCATTATTGGAATTTCTTAATTACATAAGCTACAAAAAATACAAAATACGAGACGTATGGTCTGTTGGAATCACAGAATAATCATTATACTGGCTAACTAATTATAAAAACACGTTTCTATAATAATGATTTATATTCAGAATTGTTGTTGAATCCCATAACAGTGAATACTTGCCACTGTTACTGCATGAAATGTCAGTGATGTGTCAATAAGCCGTTTATAAATTCCAAAGTTTAACGTATTTCTGAATTCATATATGTATTCTCCATGATTAATATTAATTGCAGTAGTGAAAGTATTGCATAAAAATTGACAATTTCTCAGTTGAATTAATAATAGTCACTATTTTTGTTACCAATCAGGTTGATCAACTGCTGTCTTTTCCCACAAAACACCAACAAGACCAACAGGATGAGATTGCAAGTTATGATAGTGGTCGTGGAGAAAGCGACCGGGATGCCCGCGAACACAACTCGGCTAATGGATTGGCGAGTAATTCACAAAAGGACCATAAAGAGACTGGTATGTACATTTTTTTTATCACTGTTAGCCATGCCATAGTCTGGCAATGTGTGTTTGAATTTTACATACGCTACTTCCCATGGGACCTTCTACTGTCAGATATGCCACAGACTACTATGATTTAATTCCATTGACTAAATCCGCTTGTACACTATGTACTAGGTAAATATGTCTATGCGAAAGTTTATAACCGTCTTAAAAATGCTAGTGATGTGTATAGGAGCAGATTGTATATTTGCTCATTATCTGAAATTATTCGTTATTATTAGTCCTAATAACAGCATTGACATGAATTGATACATCACAATTAATTAATGTGAAACCGATTTACTGAGGTGTTCAGTTTATAGAGGTATTATAATGAAATCTGTCTAAATCAAATTACTAGCCATATTTTTTGGAGATGCAGGGATTGCGTTAACCCCATATTTTGCTTCCCTGACTCCAATTATTGAAGAGGGACCCAGTTTTTCAGGCAAGCTGGGGTGTTATTCAGGCTAACATTTTTATTTCTTAAAATTTTGTAAGTGGGGCTTGTCTTGCCGACAAACTAGTGCAAACCCTGGGTGAGGTAATAATTTTAAATTGCTTGCATCAGCCAGAGATTCGCCAAAAGCCAATTGGATATTGAGGATGGGGTTGAGTTGTGGAGATATTAAAAATATCCAATTGACTATATCATATAGAATGTGCACGATTCATGTGATAAGTTACTTTATGAATTCAATACAAAAAATATGGTATTTATGCTTCTTAGGAATTTGAATAAAGTCAGGATAATTTGAGGCAAATTTCCCCCAAAGTCTAGACCTAAAGTGACTGAAATGTCAGTTGCCTTAACATTTCTGTGGTAATTGTGTACATTATTTTTGTAGGCAGTTGGGCACATCTGATCAAAGGAAATGATAAAAAGAAATATACAGAGACTTTTTATTGAGTTTCAAACCTCATTTGTCTTGTGAAGATAATACCAAGGTTTGCCAAATACTGCACAATCCAAGTTGTAGATAATTGAAATGTACAACAATTGGTCACTATGGTTACAGAAAGCATCAAATGAAATTATGCTATCTCGCACTAAAAGAAGTTGTGGTCTGTACAGTATAGGTATAACGTAATTAAATAGATACCCAAATGTTTACATTTAGAAAGCTGTCTTCAACATTACAATGCCTGTATTTTCTGTGCTCCAACTTAAAATAACTGTTTGAGATCTATATTAAAATCGCTTGCGGACATTTCATCTAATAATGAGGGTTGATCACATAACTATTGATAAGGAACTGTGTAAATTTTTTCATTATTTTCACTTCACACAAAATGTGTTTTTGATAAGAAGCTGTCTGAATTGTTTTTTAAAAATTTACATTTTTGGAATAAATTTCTATAGTAATCGTTAATATATTATTTCACCAAAGAATAATTTATTCATCAGAATTTCCTTGTATATTTCTTGACACCCAAGTGATCATAATGCTATTGTAAGTTTCACTATTGTGTACAAACACAATTTTTAGATATGATGAAACCATTTTACCATAAAAATTGTTGGTAAAATAGCCAAAAAATCTATTTTTCATTGATGTTCTATTTTAAACAAAAATAATATTTCAGTGACCATATATTTTTATCTGGGTTATATGAACAACAGCATAAAAATAAAACCATGATATGAAAGTCGAGGAAATAGGATGATGCGTTTTAATGGTACTACTATGGTTGTTTCATGTACTGAGAACTGTAACTGTACTGGTATATTGGAACTTAAAATAGTCCACCTTTACCGTTATCATCATTAAGGTCTTTGACTTGTTTGTATAGTCAAATATGGTTTGACTCCTTAAATTTTAGTTCAGTTTTTATTTTACTCGTACATCTAGAAAGTTGTATATTTAATTTTTTCAATCATAAGTGATGCAAAAAATGCTGTCACTCTCCCAAGAATGTTACTTGCTAACCACTTGTTTATCGTCATTTCCAAAACAGATCACTTCTATTTCCAAAATACGATTTAATTCAATGTGTAATTATAAAATTTAATTTGGTCAATTTCAAAGGATGAGAAAGGATATGTGAACAAAATTCAAAACTTTAAAAACTTTTTTTCTAAAACTTCCGTTAAAGGGTAGTGATCGCCGCGCCACTTCCTGTCCGATTTATGACCCATAGCGACATAAAATGCATGTGAAATGCATTGTTTAGATGAAATTTGAACTTGCACACTGCATGATGACCACTGCCTTTTAAAAGGGACTTCAGTATTACCAAATTGACCTCAAGAACATTAATGTAGATTCCATGGTGAACATGTGGCATTGGCACTAAGATATCACCCACTGAAAACATCGTTCAGAATAATAAGATTTATCAAAAGTTAGTTCGTCATCAAAATCCATTGTTCTCAGATAATAATAGCCATATTTTTCGTTGAATATTACAGGAATATTAACTTTTGGTATTTTAAAATAAGACTATTCTTTTTTAGTGTGTAACCAGATTCGTACTAACAAGGTTTGACTTGCATGTACTTGATTGATATGTGGTATACGATACATGTCTACGTTGCGACATTTGCGATTTGTGATGATCCGTGTGACCAGGTCACATGTCTTAGTTCAGCTACACTAACGCTCCGTCTGATCTCCCTATGAATTACAATTATATTTCCCCACACAGCGTGATAAGAAACCAATTTCTTGTTTCGATTCACCTCATTAAGATATTTTTCAATTTTCTGATTCCCAGTAAGATTACAATTAACACGTTGTTATGGTAACATGATTCGTTTGGTAGTTTATAGACTGTATCGATTCGGTGAACCAAAAACCTGTGTCGGGTTGAATTCCTTCTGTCTAGAGGCTTTACACTCAGCACTCCTTTGCAGCCTCAATTTCTTATTTTTAGTGGTTTTTACTTTTGGATGTGCCTTTTATTATTTACATTGTTGTGGTTATAGAAATGTTACTGTTTAAAATGCTTATTGGAGGAGAGAAGTGACTGTTAAAAAGCAAGATTGTAGTTTTGCTTATTGGTTAAATCTCTGTTCTAAAACAAGTTACAACTTTACGTTCAAGTCTATTGTTTAGAATTGTCAACAATATTGAAGGTGTTTTGTACGGTGTTCTATAAAATGAAAGCGTCCGTCTTATCAGTGCCGTGATCCTATTGTGAGTCTCATATTAAACATGGTTACAAGTGTTTTGGTCCTTTGCTTTAAGTAACCGCTCACGTCAGTCCTGATTGTATTTGCTTGTTGTGCCCAAGAATGAACCTGACAAACGTTCCGTGTACCATGTTCGAAAAAGAAATTCATTACTTTGTACCTGTCACTGAGAAGTTTAATTTAACTCAATAAAAAGTTGCCCGGCAAAGTTTATCATTGTTGAGTTGTTTCACATACAGGTTAGAAATAAAGGGAGTTTTTAGTTTTGGACAATAAAAGAAGTTGTTGAATTACAAGTGCAGTTTGGTTTTCTATGGTGATTACTTTGGTGCTTGGGGTGACGCTCTGATGTGAAAGAAATGAATAACAAGTCAGTTTGGTATGTGATAGACCAAGAGAATGACTCACCACCTGTTTCCAGTTTTAAATAATATTTGTAATGTACATGTTTATTGAAATGAACTAGTTAGTACTGGTTAGAACTAGTTGGTAACATGCTGGTAGAATGTAATTTTTGATTTAAAACTTGTTATAAAAACAATGCTATCAACAATGGTTTTCTCGAAAGGCTTGATGGGGGAAAAAAAAATTCTTTGATATTCTCCGATAAACGAATTTGTCATAGGTGGTAGGATAGGTCATTTTGTTAAGTAAGTCATGTTGGATTTCTGTCTTTGTCGTGATGCTCTGAGCTTATCTGTATCATCGACTACTCTATACTGAGAGGAAAATCTCACCTGCAGAGTTTGTAAATATAAATGTGTTGTGATTCAGTTTAAATGCAGCAAAATAATCTGTACTAGCTTTTTGGCATGCATAACAGCTATTCCATAGAACAAACTGTCTTAGATTACAAGATTTGTAAAAACGTTACTTTTTTTCAAGACCAGCGATGCATGCGTAATAACGTTACTTGTAATTACATTCCACATATTGTCTGAAAGAGAATGTACAACTGGTTTATAAGATTTTGAAGAGATAGAAAGAATTTAGGTGAAGAAAATGTCAAATTTCCTGTGCATGTTTTGAAAGTTTTGTCGTGCCTCTTGAAATTGATACTATCTACTCGCTTTATACACACCTTTGCAGTCGTCACCATGGTTATTTGAATAAACGAACATCTCTGGGGAGGTCTCTCCATTATTCACATAAAACAACACTAACGCTAACACGACAGGTTTCTTTTACTTCTAGAAGATTTTCTTACTGGCTACATTCTGACTCGCTTATATAAATAAAAAAAAATGCTGAAATTCGTTTTCCAACATATTTGTACAAACTTGTATATTACTAAAATCCTGCATAATTGAATCGTCTTATTGAGATCATAAGACGATTCATCGTCTCATTTTAGACAGTTGACATGAATCTTTTATCATTGTTGGTTGTCTTTTATACACCATCACGTCCGTTTCATTGTCAGAACCCATGATACTTAATTCGACCTGCACTTCCGCGATGTAATGATTTTTACTCAAGATTTGTTAGTAAAAAGATTTTTACATTGAAACTCAATGAATAGAACAGTTATAAAAGATTAATTTTTCAAATTGCCTCTCTCATTTCCTAGGTTTCCTATAAATTTGTGAATTTCCTGTGTTTCTTTTCATATGAAGTATACTGGAGAACACATGAATAAAGGGATCAACTTGTTCAATTTGTAGGGGGTTGAAAAATAAATGAACAAGGGATCAACTTGTTCAATTTGTAGGGGGTTCAAAAATAAATGAACAAGGGATCAACTTGTTTAATTTGTAGGGGATTCAAAAATAAATGAACAAGGAATCAACTTGTTCAATTTGTAGGGGGTTGAAAAATAAATGCACAAGGGATCAACTTGTTTAATTTGTAGGGGGTTCAAAAATAAATGAACAAGGTATTCACTTGTTTAATTTGTAGGGGGTTCGAAAATAAATGAACAAGGTATCAACTTGTTTAATTTGTAGGGGTTCAAAAATAAATGAACAAGGTATCAACTTATGCAATTTGTGGGGTTTCAAGAATAAATAAAACACTGAACATCTTAAATTTTTAACATGAATTGAATATCTTAGTTTGCCGAAATTTTTTTAATACTTTTTCAGTAAATTTTTTTTTTTAACTTTCACAAATTATACTCTTTAATTGCAGTGGTCATCTTGCCACGTTCTGTTCAATGTGGGACTCATGAAATTCGAACATGCGCTAAGTTAATAGAAAATTATACCAAAATGTATTATATTGTTGAGTGAACAATTTAGCATTCAAAATTCACCATTAATGAATGATGCTTGTACATTTCAATATGTACCTTTGAAACTTGAAAGCAGATTTAAAGTTGCTATTTAAATATTGCGACTAAATGTAGAAGTCAAATGACATTGATTCAGCTTGTTTCATTGAATGCTACCAGCTTTGAAGTCTCCTTCCTGTAAAATGTATTCTCCAAGATATTGCCTCTAGATATGCCAAGATTAAATTGCGTTCTTTGTGCACATTTTGATGTCTACGGTTCACCTAATTTTTCAAATTGTGTATTCAGGATACAATAAAAAGTAATCATAGTTACAGTGAATGCTATTTTATTGTTGTGTTTATGGGGTTGTTTGACAGGCCATGATATCAAACCATTTCGATTGATACGATTATGGCTGAGTAACTGTTAACGGACAGAAGCAGCTGTTTGCAAAAAATTTCATTATCCGTCATCAGGTCAGATATTGTAGGTGTGCGCAAGTTTGCCTACCTTTTTTCTGCTTGTTCATTTAGAACAGTTTTTAAGGTTTACAGGTTTGTTACAATCTGTGACATATCAAAGGTTGTACTGTGGAAGATTGCCCCAGTTTGTAGTACTGTAAAAGGATTAATTATTCACTGGGTTTTAATTTCGCTGCCTGGAAAATGCATTAAATTAAAACCCAGTGAATAAAATTTAGCATAGAACACATTATCTAAAATGATTAAACCGTGAATTTTTAAAACCCACTGAATGTACCTGTTTACAATTAAGAGCATGTCAGACATAATTGTTATTGTTGTGATCACTTAAGGCCGCTTTATTTTAGGAAGTCTTGAGTTTAATTTCAAGATTCTGTTGAATAACATTTCTCATAAATTGTACAAAATCCAAAGCCCATGCATTTGCAGGGGTTTTTCGTCAGATTATACATAAGTGGGAATGCAACTTTTAGCCCTGAATTGACCTTACCCAAACTTCTGTTTTATAAAAATTATCATTGGATTAAAAATTATAACATTTTTTCTTCTACCTCAACTTGCTGTAGCACAAGGTATTTTAAGGTTACAATAACAAGACACCATGCACATACAATTGCCTCAGTCCATTACTAGGTGTGTTTACGTTTGGCATCGCCAACCATTGTGCAATGCAGAAAGTATTTATCTTTTCAAGCAGTACCAGTATGGTTAATTAAATCACTTTGTTATCAAAAAACGTTTTCCAGAGAAAGCAATTAAAATACTTCCTGAAAATGTTTGTTTGCGTTCATTTAAACTAAAAAATGTTTCAATTACATGTTTTATATCAACCCTATAAAATGTACGAAAATCTGAAAAAAACTTTTGCCCTATCACTGTGCTACGGATGGTTAGTATAAATAGTCTACACACAGGATTGAACAAATATTAGCTAAGTTTCAGTGAATTAAACTGGTATTGTCTCCAGGGAGGTCAAGGGGTTACGCTCTATGCAGCAAAAGAAACTGTTGCGTTTTTCAGGATAAAAATACGACGCAAGGTGCTATTTTCATCACAACATAGCATGTGCTATAATGGGCCAATGCGACATATATTTATGCGATAAGACATTTAAGATTAAATTTGTGGAATAAATGTTATAGAGCACGTACCCTTCAATTCCGACACGCTTTATATTCAATGGTTATGCTAATAATGTATAATAATATAAAAAATTTGTTTTTCTTAATACAGATGATGCACTCGAAGACACCAGTTATATGGCGAGCCCTCGATGTACTGTTGAATGTAAAACGTTAGGTCATTCTGATCAATGCTGGATGCCACCTCAAGAACCCAATCCCCGGCAACACCGTATTCCTGTTGATATCCCCGACAACTATCTTGCATCATACAATTGTGATGATCGAGGAATGGCGAGTCCCACATACAGTGATAGCGATTCTAGTCCAGATTACGAATTGGAGAATGGTGTCCAATGGCCGATCGCTAGCTTCACATCTTTTGGATATGATCCACCAAAGCCAGCAGCATCTAACACAAACTTTGATCGCCAAGGAAGCGCAAGACTACGGCATCATTTGTTTTCAGAGCCATTGACTCCAATCACTGAGCACCCAGCAGAAAGTTTAACTGAACTCTTGGAAGGTGCACAGGAATTGGAGCGACAGAAAAAGAATGACTTGCATAGCCAGATGAGTTTAGGGGATCATTTAAGTAGTCGATCAAGCAGCACGTCATCGGGTAACAGTTACGTCAATAGAAATCCACCAAACGACAGTGCAATGAATAGAGCGGCTCACAGACAATCGCCAAAATCATTCTCTGATTACTCCTGTACTATGTCAGAAAGTAGCCTATCAGAAGGAGAGTTTGAAATTGACTCGTATCCAAGGAAGAATGTTGTGAATCTCCTTGACAACCAGAGAGAAACGGCTATTACTGATGACGGAGAACACTGTGATGCGGCTCAGTTGGTTAAGCACATAGACAGTCTATTTTTCAGTGATTCCACTGTTTGATCTCAACACGACCAATGAAACTACTTAATTTTTTTTTTTTTTACTGTGACAATATGTCAGTTGTTGTGTTTACTTTTCTGCTATAAACATGCTACAGGTGGTTTTCAGGGTGTCATGTCAATGCAATGTTTCCTATCGTAGGAGTTTATGCTCAGCACCGCTGTTGAATTCTAAATTGGTGAAATCGTTTTTGAAAGTTTGTCAGTACATTTTAACCCATGGCTAGTGTTTTCTACCCAACAAGTGTCTGCAGCGGGCTTTGATAAAAAAAAAAGCTTGTTACATTTCACCCTAAATAAATGGAATAACTCAATAATTATGTCTTCCGCTTTGTACACTGCAATCATACCTCACAGTATTTTGTGACTATCATTTGGGCCAATTGAAGTAGGCATTTGTGCTGAGAGAAGTAACTAGCAAGCTTTTGTTTAATCTATCAAATAATTTGCTTGCCCTCCATTAAATCAGTTACGTAACATTCAATTTTGAGAAAAAGTAGTACTAATGAAAGAAGAACTCTAGCAATATTTTTTTTACAGTTTATATAAATATATCTATAATATATATTTCACCAAAGAGCTTTATCATTACTGTTTTAGTTTGTTTTTAAAAAAAAAAATTAAAATTTTTCATGTTACGGTGCTTTGCCTATGACATAGGACAAAACTTAGTTTTTGAGAGTTTGTTTTTAGAGCCAATTTTAAAGTTTATGTAATTTGTTTTTTTGGACAAATATATATTAAGTATGTAGCATGCTTATTATATATTCATATTCACTGGAAAAATAACAAAGTAAATTTAGAAATAATGACTAGAAATCTTTAATCAGTGACTTTGGGGAGCTTACTCATTTATATGAAAAATTTGTACCTGTACTTGGATCCATCTTAGTATTGCACAAAGAATTTGAGTTGAACAGCTCCAATTTTCATGAAGAAGTCCCCCTAGTTCATTCAAAGCTATTTAATTTTCATCTGCCAGTTATTCAGTTCTTTTAGTTTGTTCAGAGTTATATGATTGTTAAAGCAATAAAGATTTTTATATTCATGTTAATATCTGTGTTTTGAAAATTTGTTCAATACAATCATTCCCATTTAATGATTGTGAATTCTGTATGTAGTTAGACTCTTGCCACCAGACCTCAGAGTGCATGGAGCAAGAAAGTTGAAAGGTCTCTACGATATGCACTAAACTGAAAATAAAGCCATCTAGTTTACCTAATATATTCCGAAATTAAAAACCTGCATCAAGGTAACATTATGACTCATTCCACTGATACATAGAATTTATGTAATGTCCTACTTTCTACATTTTGCTCCACTGATTAATGCCTAGAATCTATAGGATGTTTCACTCACTATTTCTCTCTTCTCCAATTATGCCTAGAATCTATGGGATGTTTCACTCACTGCATCTTCCTCCATTAATTATGCCTGGAGTCTATTGCTCCATCTCCTTCCACTAATTAATGCCTAGAATCTATAGGATGTTTCACTCACTATTTCTCTCTTCTCCAATTATGCCTAGAATCTATGGGATGTTTCACTCACTGCATCTTCCTCCATTAATTATGCCTGGAGTCTATTGCTTCATCTCCTTCCACTAATTAATGCATAGAATTTATAGGATGTTCCACTTGCTATATCTCCCTCTACATTGGTGGAGTGAAAACAAAACAGTGAAACCTTAGGCATAGATAAGTATTAGTGGAGTAAAATATCAGATAGTGTTAAGCTAAACTTGGTACAATGTAGTTGTGCCACTGTGTTCTAGGCATTAGTGGAGTAGAACACTGCATAGATCTGAGGTGTTAGTGCAGTGGTGTATAGAGATTCTAGGCATTAGTGGAGTAGAACACTGCATAGATCTGAGGTGTTAGTGCAGTGGTATATAGAGATTCTAGGCATTAGTGGAGTAGAACACTGCATAGATCTGAGGTGTTAGTGCAGTGGTGTATAGAGATTCTAGGCATTAGTGGAGTAGAACACTGCATAGATCTGAGGTGTTAGTGCAGTGGTGTATAGAGATTCTAGGCATTAGTGGAGTAGAACACTGCATAGATCTGAGGTGTTAGTGCAGTGGTGTATAGAGATTCTAGGCATTAGTGGAGTAGAACACTGCATAGATCTGAGGTGTTAGTGCAGTGGTGTATAGAGATTCTAGGCATTAGTGGAGTAGAACACTGCATAGATCTGAGGTGTTAGTGCAGTGGTGTATAGAGATTCTAGGCATTAGTGGAGTAGAACACTGCATAGATCTGAGGTGTTAGTGCAGTGGTGTATAGAGATTCTAGGCATTAGTGGAGTAGAACACTGCATAGATCTGAGGTGTTAGTGCAGTGGTGTATAGAGATTCTAGGCATTAGTGGAGTAGAACACTGCATAGATCTGAGGTGTTGGTTGAGTGGTGTATAGAGATTCTAGGCATTAGTGGAACCATCCTGTCATAGAATAGAGCATAGAGTGAAATACATTCTAAACATTAGCAGAGCGAAGCACAGTGAGTAGAATACCTGATAGATGCTGGGTTTTTGCCACCACCATCATGAAACTACTGCTTTTATGCAGATATGTCACATGGACACAAATACAGTTGGTGGAACACTCCAACAAACCGTAAAACTCAAATACTTTATAAACACTTCTTTACCTGTAACCGTGAAAGAAAGCAGTGAGGTGAAGATAAAAGCATTCCTATTTTGCAAAAACAACTTCCAATGTTTTCTCAAAAGAGTCCCTGAGAACCATCTAGATACTTAAACAACAAAGTGGAATCCCTGTTGCTATGAAAACAGATTATTATAAACTTATCTTCTCAGTAGGTTGTCTTTATCCTAAGATGAACACTTCAAATGTAAATCATAATCTAATTTAAAGTTAAACATTGTGGGAAGGCTATTTTTTTTGTATAAATTTTCTCCGGGGAACTCTGCCCAGGATAAGTGCATATGGTTGTGTGAAAACACTTAAAAAATACAGTTGATTCATTTGGTTTTTACACTACAGCTAAAAGTCTTCCTTGTGATAAGAAATCTGGACATGCTTTGATGGCTATAGCAAGTTTCTATCCCATGAGCTGTTCAATTTATAGAGAGGATTATTTTCTAATTTGTTACACGCACATGAACACTATACTTTTTCTTTTGCAATTTGTAAATTAAAACGAACATCCACATATACGGTTTAGTGAAAACTGCCTTGTTTGTCTTGTTTTCAATTTATAGTTTTATTTTTACAATGCATATATATTGATAAATGGAAAGATAAATTGTCTTGTCATTTGTTGTTAATATCTCCTGCTGAAATCCTTTACGAATAGTCAAAATGATCGGAGAAAAAAAACTGTATCAGCCGGAAAAGTGTTAACCAAAGGAAGAGTATAACATTTCAAACAGGGTTCAGTTTAGAATGGGTCATATTATCATATTACCGTATACAACATATTGCATGAAAAATTAATATTAAAAAAAAAAAATGCACAGAACTATCCATTGTGACATGACATACTTTGTGATGCCTGTCCCATCTGTCATTCAAAGTTGATGGCAATTTACTCCCACCTCCCTTAAGAGTTTATGTTTATTGAATAATTTCAAATGAGATAATTAACCATCTATGAAATATTAAAAAAACATGTACTCTTTGGCTGTGTAGTAATAACATGTAATGGTGCTCTGTATAGTGTTAATTTGTTTGAGTTACCTGACAGTTACAGTACTTTGCTTTGGTGTGGCGCATTGATTTTTAGTTTAATAAATTGATTTTTATTGATTTATGACAAGTTCCAACAGAAGTAATTTAAAGTCCACTAAAGAGGTCTGCAAGATGTGATGTACGTTTGCAGTTGAGTCAAAGCATATATACAAAGCAGAATTTGATACATCAAAAAAACCTGTTAATAAACAAGCTGCTCTCTGATTGGTCAACCTGTTAGGTGTTTGGTTTGGATAGCCAATCAGACACAACCTTGTAAGTAGGACAGCATTGACTACTTTTGTTCAGAAAAGTTAGAAAAAAAAAATTGTATATCGTTACACAAGACATTAAATTAATAATTAGTTTTGATTAATATTGTGTGTGAAATTTTGGTTGTGTAATTTTTTTTTTTCGGTCATTATTTATAAATTAATTAGTGTCATTTCATTTAATTTTAATAAATAAGCAAATTTGCATAATTGATTGATTTGGAGTAATTCTCATATCTTGTCACGGTGAAGTACATGACCAAGATATGTTGAATCAATCATATGATGTGTGTACTGTGTAAATAGTCAGTCTTTGTTTAAAGCTAAAAGTAAATAAAAGTCAGTGCCGTTATAAGGTTTGACAGTCTCTTCAGTTAATTCATAGTTTTGGACAATTGTCACCTGTTAATGAGTCCACAGTGGGATTACTTGAAAGTAGATGCTGTTAGTTCATCTGAGTTGTTTGTTTTGTACTTCAATCCTCCAGCTGTCCCATGACCTCAAATTCTGCAAAACACAAGTGTATTCAATTTGTTTTACTGTTGCCAATATAGATACTATATTTTCTCTATTAGAAGCATTAACACTTACACTTAAATTATAACCAAAACAATTATTTTTGGTTCAGATATTGTATCTTACAAAAATTGTGTATATTATTTTGTGGTGTAATACCTTGAAGTTTACTTGAACACTTACGGACATTCTTGAAATTACAGTCTCCACCTTCAACCATGTTTAATTTTACTGTTAAGGCTCTGTTAAAAGTTGCATTATTAAAAATAAATAAATAAACTAAATACTTACTCACACTACTGTAAATGCATTATTGATTTACTGGGTTTTAATTTCACTATTTTCGCTAAAAAGTAAAATCCACTAAATTAAATCTACATGAATATGTAAAATAACAATAAAACTCATTGTTTCCTTGACAAATTCGTGAAATTAAAACACGGTGAATATGCATAAAACATCAAAATAGTGAAATTAAATGTCAGTGAAAATAAATGGCTTTACCGTAGTGTTTTGCATAACTCATGATGCTAATATTTAAAGTGATTCCAATAATAAGGAAATTATATTTAATTTTCAAATAGATTCAAACCACCTTAAATTAGCAAATAGCTAGCCCACACAAACCTACCCACCACATAGAATTGTTCTTATTCCCTTTTTACCATTTCCATGTATGCAGGATTGAAGATATCCGGAAATGTAATTCATCAAATTCTCGTTAGCGTTATTACCCTCTTGAGAGTACCTAGCATGTTTTAACATTCAAATCGAATACCTACCGGAATTCATGATATAACTCTTGGCAAATCTCTTACAAAATGACACCTTAATTAATTCAACTCTCGTTATTTTTCAATTTAATTTTTAATATAAAATAATGCGTGCGGAACACGGAATGCTAATTACCATGCTCTGTAGTAAAGCAGTGAATTCGCCGACGCCGAAAAAAAAAGTACTCAGAGCGTTTTTGAGTTGACGGCAATGTTTGGATGCGCTATTTGACGAGTATACGGTGATGAGTGCACAGTCAGAATACAGATGAAGGGGACGATATGTTCTCGTTACTACTAGTCGAGTTGAACTGCTGCGGAAGATCTAGATTTAGATAAGATATTGATGATTAATTACAGATATTCTACAAGAGTAGGAATCTTCGCCAGACGAAACATACTAAATGTCGTAACACAATATTATTAATAATAGAGATTATGTTATTAATATTAAACAACTGGAGCTAACTGTCTGATAGGAAAGGTCATGTTCTGTGGCAGACATCTGTGTTTGGCAAGAGATATATTTTATTCATTGTAATTAATTTTTAATTAATAACCCCCATCGCTTAATTAGGACAGTCCCTCACTACTCTAGATTCAGACCCCCTCCCCACTACCACCCTCTTACGTCTATTCACCACATACAAATTGATCAAAATATTAGATGAGCAATCAGTATTACCTCAACAACAACAAAAAAACCACCCACCCAACAAAT